CCTCGAGGGGCCCTGGGGCCCCTCGAGGGCCTCAGGGCTTCGGCGGGCCGTCGACGTTTTTTCGTCGCTTTCGTCGTTTTTCCTCGAGGCCCTTCAACGGCTGCGGAAAGTCATCGCGATGATGAGGAGCGGTCCTGGGGATAGGGTCCCAGACATGCGACGTCCTGATTTTTTCAGGACGGCCTCCCCGGAAGTCCCGACCCTTTTCCCTGGGGCCGGCTTGTCATACTGAGTAGTTTTTTGACGGCCCCGGGGCCCGGCGAGGGCCCCCTGGGGCCGAAAATAGTGAAACATCTCCCGTTCTGAATTTTTTACGACGCGATGCCAAAAATCCGATGTCGTGATTTTCTCAATACGGGGTCCCCAGAAGTCTCGCCCCATTCCCCGGGGACCGGCTTCTCGCCCCGAGTCGTTTTTTCACGGTCCCGGGGCCCGGCGAGGGTCCCTCGAGGCCGAAAAATACGAAAAACATCCGTCTTGATTTTTTCAATGCGTTGGATCTCTGGGAATCCGCCTGTAGGAGAAGGTGGAGGAGGAGGAGGAGGAGGAGGAGGAGGAGGAGGAGGAAGAGGAGGAGGGAGGAGGAGGAGGAGGAGGAGGAGGAGGAGGAGGGAGGAGGAGGAGGAGGAGGAGGAGGAGGAGGAGGAGGAGGAGGAGGAGGAGGAGGGAGGAGAAGGAGGAGGAGGAGGAGGAGGAGGAGGAGGCAGGAGGAGGGGGAGGAGGGAGGAGGAGGAGGAGGAGGAGGACACATCAGGACGTCGCACGTCCGGGGTGCTTCCGAGGCGTGGGCCCCTGGAGGTCCGCCGGGGGCCCGTGGACCGGGGCTCCTCTTCGGTCGGGCATGCTCTCCTACAGGGGGATCTCGGAATAAGAAATTAAAAAATGAATCGTAAGAAATTAAATAATGAAATAATAAGAAATTAAAGAATGAAATTAGTCCTCCGAAAATTAAAGAATGAAATTAGTCCAGGTCGGAAGCATAGTAAGAAATGAACTAATGAAAATAGTCCTCCGAAACGCAAAATAATGAAACAAGTCCTCCTAAATAATAAATAACAAAAAATATTGCATGTCCTCCCAAATGAAAAATTATCTCGGCAAAGCAACCTAACAGCGATGTGTAGGAGCATATCTCGAAGCATCCCCCTTGAGATTCAGATGAGAATCCGGTTGTAGAATTCTGCTGTTCTCGCAGTCGTAGTCGCATTCGCGATGACAGTCGCAGTGGCAACGGCAGTCGCAGTCACAGCCTCAGCCTCAGCCTGCCTCAGCAGCTCAGGCTCAGCCTTCAGCCTCGCCTCAGCCTCAGCCTGTCAGCAGCCTCAGTCTGCCTTCAGCCTCGGCCTCAGCCTCAGTCTGCCTCAGCCTCAGCCTGCATCAGCCTCAGCCTCAGCCTCAGCCTGCCTCAGAATCAGCCTGCCTCAGCCTCAGCCTGCCTCTGCCTCAGCCTCAGCCTGCTTCAGCCTCAGCCTCAGTCTGCCTTCAGCCTCGGCCTCAGCCTCAGCCTGCCTCAGCCTCAGCCTGCATCAGCCTCAGCCTCAGCCTCAGCCTGCCTCAGCATCAGCCTGCCTCAGCCTCCGCCTCAGCCTGCCTCAGCCTCAGCCTCAGCCTGCTTCAGCCTCAGCCTCAGTCTGCCTTCAGCCTCGGCCTCAGCCTCAGCCTGCCTCAGCCTCAGCCTGCATCAGCCTCAGCCTCAGCCTCAGCCTGGCTCAGCATCAGCCTGCCTCAGCCTCAGCCTCAGCCTGCCTCAGCCTCAGCCTCAGCCTGCTTCAGCCTCAGCCTCAGCCTCAGCCTCAGCCTGCCTCAGCCTCAGCCTCAGCCTGCTTCAGCCTCAGCCTCAGTCTGCCTTCAGCCTCGGCCTCAGCCTCAGCCTGCCTAAGCCTCAGCCTGCATCAGCCTGAGCCTCAGCCTCAGCCTGCCTCAGCATCAGCCTGCCTCAGCCTCAGCCTGCCTCTGCCTCAGCCTCAGCCTGCTTCAGCCTCAGCCTCAGTCTGCCTTCAGCCTCGGCCTCAGCCTCAGCCTGCCTCAGCATCAGCCTGCCTCAGCCTCAGCCTCAGCCTGCCTCAGCCTCAGCCTTAGCCTGCTTCAGCCTCAGCCTCAGTCTGCCTTCAGCCTCGCCTCAGCCTCAGCCTCAGCCTGCATCATCAGCCTCAGCCTCAGCCTCAGCCTGCCTCAGCATCAGCCTGCCTCAGCCTCAGCCTCAGCCTCAGCCTCAGCCTGCTTCAGCCTCAGTCTGCCTCAGCCTCGGCCTCAGCCTCAGCCTGCATCAGCCTCAGCCTCAGCCTCAGCCTGCCTCAGCATCAGCCTGCCTCAGCCTCCTCAGCCTGCCTCAGCCTCAGCCTCAGCCTCAGCCTGCTCAGCCTCAGCCTCAGTCTGCCTTCAGCCTGCCTCAGCCTCAGCCTCAGCCTCAGCCTCAGCCTCAGCTGCCTCAGCCTCGCCTCAGCCTCAGCCTGCTTCAGCCTCAGCCTGCCTCAGCCTCCTCAGCCTCAGCCTCAGCCTCAGCCTCAGCCTCAGCCTGCCTCAGCCTCAGCCTGCCTCAGCCTCAGCCTCAGCCTGCTTCAGCCTCAGCCTCAGTCTGCCTTCAGCCTCGGCCTCAGCCTCAGCCTGCCTCAGCCTGCCTCAGCCTCAGCATCAGCCTGCCTCAGCATTCAAAATGTGGCCTGGGAATGGAGTTCTGGGATCTCGAAAAACACGAATTGGCCTGCAGTTGGCTCCGGGCATTCAAAATCATGCCCAGGAATGGAGTTCTGGGAACTCGAAGACCACGAAGTGGCCTACTGTTGGCTCCAGGCATTCCAAATCATGCCCAGGAATGAAGTTCTGGGAACTCGAAGACCACGAAGTGGCCTGCTGTTGGCTCCAGGCATTCAAAATCATGCCCAGGAATGGAGTTCTGGGAACTCGAAGAACACGAAGTGGCCTACAGTTGGTTCCGGGCATTCAAAATCATGCCCAGGAATGGAGTTCTGGGAACTCGAAGACCACGAAGTGCGTTACTGTTGGCTAAAAAGTCCCCGGCATCCTCCCCCGGATCGCGCCCAGACCCCCCTGGGGCGTCATGATGCTCTCTTTTGACCCTACTTGAAACCTATCAGTCTTCGCTGTTAGGTAATAACAAAACGATGCTCAAACATAGCAAAAAAATCAAAACATCGCCCCTAGACTACAGGATCCTGCACCAAGCCTGGGTCAATGCGTCCCTGGCCCTGCAGGATCCTGCAAGGTCAAGCGCTCTGACTGACCTCCGTTTGCATTGACCCCCGTCTCTTGAGCCCCGAGCCCGGACCACTTCCCCAGGGCCGGTTTTTCGCCTGGAGCCGTTTTCTGATGCTCCCGAGGCCCGGCGAGGGCCCCCAGAGGTCGAGAAAGCGGCCAAAAGCCGCCCGCTCCGATTTTTGTTGGGGCGTCGGTTGGCGGCGCGCACAGGGGGCTAGGGGGAGGGGGGAAGGCTTCTTAGTAGAAGCACTCCTGCTTCTTAGAAGGCGCGGGCCTTGTCTGTAGATGTAAGGCCCGCGGCTCCTAAGAAGCAGCCTCCTTCTAAGAAGCCTTCCCCCCTCCTCCTCCTCCTCCTCCTCCTCCCTCCCCTCCTTTTCCTCCTCCTACTCTCCTCCTCCTCCTCCTCTTGCCTTTTGCCTGCCTTGGGGAAAAAGTCCATTGAGGTACCCCACTCCTCCTCCTCCTCCTCCTCCTCCTCCTCCTCCTCCTCCTCCTCCTCCTCCACCCCCTCCACCCCCTCCCGCGCGTTCGACGAGCAGGGTCCAGAAGCAAATGTATACGGTTTGTCCTTCTTGTCATAAGTCTTGGGTATTCAATCACAAGATGGGCAAGTCTGGATGGGAAGCTCGTCGCAGATGTGGGTTACTATGGAGTGTACTATGCCCCGCAGCAGAGCAGTGTGCAGGAGGAGGAGGTGCCCCACGTGCTGGAGGAGCCCCGCCCGATCCGCAGGCTGTGGTGGAGCAGTCTCTCCTGCGCAAATATGAGAAAACCAAGCAGGACGACGACGTGGCGCAGCAGCAGGCCCTGGAAACCAGTTGCCCAGAGCTGGCCGCTAAATGGAAGCCACCGCCAGTTCCATCGTGCGAGGAAAAGTTGGCAACGAATGCCCAGAAGATTCGCCGGTTGCAAGCGCACCAAGGACGCATCAAGACTCAGCTGGTGGCAGCAGCGAAGTCGCAGAAAGAGTTGCAAGAGAAGTTGGTGGCGAATGTCCAGCAGTGTCTGGACTTGCAGGCTGAAGTCGACGCAATCAAGACCCCAGCAGGAGCTGCCATGACCGCAGCCACGGCTGAGGCAGCGGCCGACGAGGACACGTTCCCAGAGCTGGGTGCTGAAGATTTGGCGCGCCTTGATGAGAATGGCAAGAAGGAGTATGCGGCCGCCAAAAAAGCTGCTGACCAAGCGCCAGACGTACTACGACAAACTAATGATGCAAGGAAGTCGGCCAAAGAGGCAGCGGAGAAGATTCGCTCGCTTCACTCGACGGCGACCTCCAAGAGACGAAAAGGAGCTTCGGAAGAAGCTGAACCGACCACTGAAATCAAGAAGGAGGAGCCTGAGGAGGCCCCAGCCGTGGACTTCACCAACCCCGACGACGCGGACAAATACATTGCCGCGACCACGGCGATCAAGGCCAAGGTCAAGGCTCGGGCTCCAACGGCGGGGGGCGCAGGTGGAAGTGGACATTCGGTTTAGCAGTACCAGACATAAGAAGACGGTTCACATTTTCTATGCGAATGTGACAAGCTACAGTGGGAAGGTCAAGCACTTCATCGAGCATGCAGGTTTTGAAATGATTGGTTTGGCTGAACACCGCCTGCTGGCTCGGGCGATCAAGGTCGAATCACAGAAGTTCCGAAGGCAAGGATGGCAGTCCCAGTTCACTTGGACTCCAGCAGCGCCGACAGGCACCAGTGTGAAGGGCACGCGTGGGGGTACTTGTTGGTTGGCACGCAACCGATAGCTGACTGCGGCTCGCCTGCCTGATGGGTCAGGCAAAGGTGGATTTCAGAAGCAGTTGAAAGATATGCCGGTTATGCTGTGGCGGCTCCAGGGAGTCGCCGTTGGACTGATCGTGATCCACTTGGACACGGGCAAGGGCTTCGAGGAAGATAGTGCGCGCAAGATGGCGCAGTTGCTACGCATTGTCAAGTCCATGACTGTGCCCTGGGTGACAACTGGAGATTGGAACAACACGCCAAAACAATTTCGACGCACGAAGTGGCTAAGGGCGCTGAAAGGGGAGCTGCTTTTGCCGACAGAGTGCGACATCACATGTACTTCTGGACAGGGCAGAATCTTGGATTATGGAGTATGCTCGAGGGACTCCTTGCCGCTGATCAAATCCTTTACTCCAGTTCGCAATGTGCCATGGGGACCTCACATTGGACTGGACTTGGAGTTGCATTCGCGACCAGCGGCGATTTTTGTTCAGGCCCCTAAATTGCCTGTGAATTTGGACATCCCTAAGACAACAATCAAGATGGAGAAAGGAGTGAAACGATTCCAGCGTGACCGAGAGCGACATGCTAAACTCCAAGCGCAGGCTGAGAGTGATGGAATCCTACCAGGAGACCTGGGACACGATGAGCATGCTCAACTACTGGCAGAAACGTATGACAAAGAGGTGCGCAGCAGTGTTACGGACCCCCAATGCCAGGAAACACTCAGTCTTACGAGAGAAGAGTTACCTGCACAGCCGCTGAAGGCTACGATGTAGTCCTGGGCCTTCAAGCGCGACAGCGGAGGGGCCTTGGAGTTGGGCAGACATTTTGGTGAGTGGACGTTAGCTGCTGAACGATCGCTGTGCATCATGACGGACAGCGAGCAAAAGACGGTTTGGAAGGGGCAACCAAACAAGTACATCAAGAAAAAGGCAGTTGACCAAAAACGTGCAGACCCATTCATCAACGCTGCAGTGCGGGAAGAAGCTAATATATGGGAAGCTATCTCTTTTCGGCTACGTGAAGTGGCAACTCTTCAGGTCAGATGTGCCCGAGTCGGGCAGTTGCAACCTGTGCTGGAAGCGGTTGGCAAGTTGCGACAACGTCTTCTGGACCTGTACAATCAAGCTGATCGCAGATCTGAAGTACGTGATCGTGAGCAGGATGCGGCAGTCTTGAGGGAGATTGGATACACACTGGGGTTGGAGCCTGGACCTGAAGCTGAAGCTGCACAGCCAGGACGAGCTTCGACCAGAAGTAATCGACCACTGGAGTCGGGCATCCTCAAGCTCACCAGCAGAGTACCGCAGTTCCAGTGCTTCCCAGGGACTGACATCCTGTTTGGCAGCGAGCTCAACTTCACGACACCTGCTCCAATCCCACGTCCAGCACATGCGATGGACGATGACGACCATGATCCTTTTGCAGATTTGGATGCTGGACTGGATGATCGTGGTCTAGAAGTGGCATCTGGCTTCACTGGCATAGATAATTGCAGAGATGGAGGAACAAGCGTACCAGTCACGGAGCCACAGCCTGAAGTGGCTCGAGCGCAAAACTCAGTGCCAGAACACAGAGGCGATTGTGTTCACGAGGCCTACAAGACATGGACGAAAGATTAACACGTAACTCCTGGAGCTGATGGAAGTATACCAATCAAAGGTTCACACGTAACTCAGCGGAATTCGGTGCAGTTTTCGAACGCAGTATCCAGTGACCTGGTGGCGAGGACCTACCAGCGAGCAGAACGACATGCACAGTTGGCATGGAAGGCTACGCGCTCTCAAGTTAGTACGTGGGCGACACAGGCTACAGCAGGCTCGCGTAAGCAAGCGCACATATACCTTGGCAAGGAAGAGCAGATTGAGACCAGCAGCGGCTGCCTGGACCCTGAGACGAGAGCTTGGGAGATGGATCCTGTCAAGAGCACCGGCTTACGCCGCAAAGCTGGGGAGCACCGATGGACGGCACACAGACAACATACGGAGGACATGCAGTCAGCGCTGGACATGCTCAAGATGGAGGCCAGGGAGGAGCTAGTGGACAGGCCCTTCTTGGATGTGGACCAACTTGAGGGAGCGTTAGGTGGATTTTCCTCAGTTGCTGGTTTGGGAGCTGATCGGTGGTCGCCTGATCAGCTGCGAGCGCTCAGCCCGCAGTGCAAGGAGGGATTGCTGCTCATTCTCAACATGTGCGAGAGAAAATTGCAGTGACCACATCATCTCATGCAGATGTGGTATGCATTACCGCCGAAAGCAGATAAACAAGTTGCGGGGGCAGAACGGCCCATCGGGTTTTTACCAATGCCTCTACGAGTATGGGGTAAGATGACTAATTCTACACTTACAGATTGGTGCGATCGCCGAGCAGGTTTCTGGGATGCAGCAGTACGCAACAGCTCGGCCCTACAATCAGCTTTACTCACATTGGTACTAGATGAATGCCGAGCAAGCTTAGATGAAGCTAGCCAAGCCTCTTTTTTTCCAGGACTTGGAGATGTTGTATGACCTGGTGGATTTGGGAATATTAGCCATGCGGTCCATAGATTTGGAATTTCCACCTGTGGAATTATATATATATGTGTACCATGTGCTACCTAAGCCCGAGACTAGTCAAAGTCAACCAGATCTACAGCGACCTCATCGTACCAGATAACGGTATTGTACCAGGGTGCGGTAAGGCCAACCACTGTGCAAGACCCCTACTCTACCATGTGTTAGATAAAGTAAATAGGGATGTGGAGATAGTGCGCATCCGACAATTTGTGGATGACATTTCAGCTCGAGTAGAAGGTCCTCCAGAGATAGTGGGCCCTGCTATTGCTACAGCAGCTGCTACGCTAGTAAAGGGGTGCCTGGATGCCCGTTTACGGATAGCGGATAAGTCGACGATCATGGCGACCAAAAGGGACGACGCGACGATGGTTGAGAAGGCGCTGCTGGAGATAGGGGTCGAAATAAAACGAAGTAGTACCATGAAGGGCCTGGGGGCCGACACCCCCATGGGGGAAAAGCGGACCAGGACCACTGCTGGTAAACGCGAGCGGCTTGGACGAGCGAGGGCCTCACGGGCTCAGGTTTTTTGATGTTTGGGCAAAGCCCGCAGGAAGAAAAGGATACAGCTGTCCAATAGTAATGCTAGTGCCAATATGTCTCATGATAGCCCCCTCCCCCCCCCCCCCCCCCACACGGAGATACGAAGGCGCAGAGCCCTGGCTGCAGACCTGGCTGGCTTCGGAAAGAAAGGGCGGTGCACGTCCATGGTCATGCTGCTGCTGCTGCGTGGGGATCGGGAGCCTTGGGCCACGAGCGTCAAGCGACAGGCCAAGGAGTGGCTTGCCTTTTGGGCCCAACATCCCAACCTCAGGCAGCGCGTGCGCAGGGGGTGGATGGCCAAAGTTGAGGCTCGCACGCTTGAAGTTTCGGGCCCGTTGGAGGGCCTGCGCAGGACCGATGGGGGGCAATGATTTTAACCCTCAGGGCCCTGGGATGGGTTGGGATTGAACCCGATCGTTGGAGGGGCCCGGGGGTGAAGAGTGGCGGTTCAACCCCGACCTGTCAGGAGATATGACTGATTTAAGCGAAGCTCTGGTTGATTATGTTAAGCGCCTTCTTTGGGAGCAAGCCTCGAAATGCTCCGAAGGATCTGCCTTGAATCCTGAAGGGGGCGATTTAACTATGCTTCGCAAAAATCTGCCCAGGATGCTCAAGAGAGATATGCACCAGGAGGCCGGCGCCTTGGAGGGGCTTGTTTGTGGCGCGCTGCGGAATGGGGGTCGCCAGCGCCGTGCTGGATATAGCACAGAAGGCCTATGCGAACGCCGTGGCCTTCGACCCCCCGACACGGTGCGCCATGGAGTTTATGAATGCCCCTGTGTGCCAGCAAGAGAGCATCCCTGGATACCGCGTACTAATTATATGTGCCTGCGCGCTCTGACGGACCTGGACCATGGGATCAATGAGTCATTGTGGCTCAAGGGTATTGTGCCTGGGTCGTGGAACTGTGTTCCACCTCCCTCTGTCTGGGGGGGGGGGGGATCAGAGTGCCTGGCGAATTCGCGCTGTCGATGCCCCGACCCCCGAGATTGGCCAAGCTGGAGAAATCCCCCCCTCTTGGACCAGGCTCCGTGGCCAAGAGGCCTACTTGGATGGATCGGGCACGAGCTCGGACCCCAGGACGGTGCGCGTGGGCTGGGGAGTGTATCTCCAGCAAGGGCCCCTCCCCCCGTCTGTGCCTCAGGGCTCCTCCGATCCTGCCCCTGCCCCTGGGTGGTATGGTGGCGTCGACGGCAGACAGAGTGTTCCAGCTGCTGAGTTGGCGGCGTTGCGGCGGTGCCTGCAGCTCACAAGGAGAGCTGATAGTCTATACTGATTGTCAGTTTGTGTTTGACGGGTGGTTCGGGGGCAAGTTGGAGCGGCCTTCAGGGGCCCAGAAGCTCTGGTGGGAGAGAATCGCCCAGGCTGCCAAGGACCGCCCAGAACCTATCAGGCTCCGTAAATGTTGTTCTCATTTAGATGCCGTGTCTCACGCTCGTCTTGGCCAAAGGGTTGAGGTGTCGCGAGGTAATGAGATCGCTGATGGTTTTGCCCAGCTTGGGGCCCAGGAAGCCCATGCGTGGATTGCAGGCCAGGTCCGTCACCTTGCCCAAGGGGATGCGACTGCAACGCTGGTGCACCAGCGATTGGCCGCCGTCTGTGCTGAGCTGGCTGCCGAAGCAGCCGACCAGGACCGCCCCGCGCGCGAGGCACCCGAGGGAGGAGGGGAGGCTGCTCGGAGGGCCGTGGCTTTGGAGTCGAGCTCGGGCCATAAGATGCAGAGAGTTGCGAAGCGGGGTTGGGTTTGCTCGGCCTGTAGGTTGGGCCGTGGCAGACCCTCGCTGGTGGACTGGCTCGAGAAATCCCGCTGCCAGGGAGACACCACGCTCCGCGCTCATAGTGATGCTGGAACCCCTGTCCTCGTTCCGCCCCAAGGCGTGGGTGACGTCCAGACTGCGACCAAGAGCGCCCATCCGACGCACACGGTGGCCATGAGGCACGGTCTCGTCTGGTGCTGGAAGTGCGCTCACTATGGGAGTGTGGTCCGAGGTGGGGGGGGCTCCTTCTTCTTGCAAAGCCTTGTGATGAGAAGATCACAGGATCTGGAAGGCAGTATCTTCGGAATTTGCGGAACGGCAAGCCCCCCAAGCCAGGGAAGCCCTGGCCCATCCCCCCCCCCCGCGCGGAGGACTTGGGGGTCCAGGGGGGCTTGGCCGTC